GGATCCAAAGACTTTCTACCCACTGCCTTGTGATCGTCCTGCATTTGGCTTCATTGCATGTGTTTCGTGAGTCTGAAGAGGACTTTATAGATTGGTATCGGACATACGGGCTAATGTCAGATTTATGGCCTTGGATTGGATTGGGTTGGGATGTTTTCTCAATGTTCAATTCCTCTTGTATATAAATCTCTTTCTTATACCCATAGGAGCGTTCAAAGATTTGTTTCTCTAGTCTACCCAGACTAAAACACCTAGTCACAACAAATTCTTCCTCAGTCACCATGCTCACCTGCTTCATGTGACATTTTTAAATCATGGGAATGACTTTGGGCCTTCTATTGCACTACAGTTAGCCTACCTAACTGTATGCACCTGGGTTCCACTTCCCTACGGATGCTGAAACACCTTGTCAGGAACGGGTCCTGTCCATATTCCAGGAACTGCCTTAATTGCTAACCGAGAAAAACACGGGCGATTGTGTTTTCTGTAGTATGACTACCGTGAGGTCCTTTCAGAGCTGGAAGTACTAGATACAAACCATATCCACTAGAGACACCTTGCTGATGCCACAGGCTCAGGTAGAAAGAAACTGTTTTGAAAATGATGATGGCAACAAATGTACAAATGTGCTTGCCACAATGGATGTATATATGGATTGTGAATAGAGTTGAACGAGCCCCCAATAAAATGATTTTTTTAAAAGAGCCCCCAATAAAATGATTAAATAGAAAAGGCAAAGGAAGGTCGAATGACTGGAGATGGGAGGTTTTCCGTGCTGCGTTTGAAGCCTACTTGTATGCGACTTGAGAAACAACAGCAAGCATCAATTACTGCTTTTGTGTGTGCAAATAATGCACCTTCATACGTAAGTAGAGCAGTCTCCTGACGGCCAGGCTCACCGATCGATTGTGGAGTTGCTTAGCATAGCCGACCCCAACATATTTAACTTACATATTTTTGGTTTAAATACTTGATAAACTATAAACTTCTTCTAAAGTTATCTGACTTAGTGCCCCATTTTATATAAGAATACTCCCATGAGCAAGAAAGGGGCAGTGTGTTGCCTCTGGGGATGTTGATCTTAAGTCAACACTGTCATCCATCTTGGAGGAAATACAGCCAGGAACTTCCTTTAAAAGCAAGGCTGTGGCGACGTGGTGTTTCCTGGTGGCCTGCCCTGGTGGTCACTAGAAAAGAGAGTGGGCCAACACCAGGATGTCCTCCCCAGGGTGAGTTGGCATCTGAAGTGCCACCACGGCTCAGACGTGCCGCAGTTGTGAGGCTAGTGCAGGGCCAGGCACTGCTTCCCTTCCACGACCAAGTAGTCTCCTTGAACCTGAGCTGACGCGGCAGCAGCAGCAGCAGCAGCAGCAGCAGCCTTGGCACAGCCAGGTGAGTTAGCACGATTAGGCGAGTACTCATAGGTTAGTAGGGAGTCCGTGTCTGTTTAGCAAAGCAGCAGTAGGCTAATGTAGTATTCCTACCGTCATCAAGGAGCCCTGGCGGTGCAGTGGCCACTTGTTGGGCTTCGAGCTGCATGTTTGGCAGTTCAAAACCACCAGCAACTCCCAGGGAAGAAACAGTCTCGGAAACAACAGAGGGTCGCTGTGAGTCAGCACTCGCTCAATGGCAGTGAGTTTGGTTTTTGATGATCATCATCATCAGGAGAGATATGTGTATGTTCATTCCCAATCATGGGGTAATTGCAATGTGAAATTTCCTTATTGTTTTGTTTGTATGCTAAAGTCAAATGGAATGCTCATGTCTGGACTGATGAGCTTTGTCTCCTGGGCGTGGACCCTGACTTTACCAAGCATGATGCCTCTTTCTAGCTCCCGGTCTTTCCCTGTGACAGACTGAAAGCGAGCAATACAAAGCCTCTCCCTCCTGGCTTCTGAAGCGCACTCTGGCCATCTTCATTTCGTTGGTGTGGGGCCCTTCCTAAGAGCTTGAGGTGACACTTTGCTGGGGCGGCTGATGCATTTACAGAGCTCTCAGGTGCCAGGTGTTTGCTGCTCTGTTCGTGGCAGAGAAGGGCTTTGAATCCCTGCACTTGGACTTACCCGCCACATGATCAGGTCGAGGTTTCTGGCCTCTCCAAGGCTTAGTTTTACCACCACTTCATTAAGGTTGCTTATTGTAAGAATTCGGGATGAGATGCATGATGTAAATGGCTGTCACGCCATTCTGAAGGTAGATTATTTAAACTGAAGAAACTGGCAGTGAATTAAGGAAGAGGAATCTTATTGCGGTGAGACTACTAGGACATCCTAATAGACTTGTTAGTGACTACAATAAAAGGATAGATTTATTTTCCCTTCTAAAATGTGTTTTATGAAAGATTTCCCTGCAGAAAGAAACTACAGAGCTGACAATTTCATTTCCTAAATCGGAGAAATGCAAATTCATGCTAATGATGGTCGTATAAACCCCTTTCTTTAGGAAATAACAATCTATAAGCTCACTGTAAAAGAGGAATTAGAATGGTCTCTTTTCTGCAGAAGACAATAGGATTTTAATGGTTTTATAGAATTCCTAAGTTAGGGCTTCAAAGTTAAGAAGAATAATTATGAAATGGAGATATAATAGAAGAAATAACTCATTTTCTTATCTATGACTTCTGTGCCATTTTCCAAATAGTTCAGGTGTTAGGAATATTCTTTGTCCAACCCCTTTGTCCACCACCCCACCCCACCACCCCACCCCGACACAAAAAAAACCCTCACAAAACAAAACACTGGCAATGAGTTGATGAAGTTTTCCAGGACTGCATTTTCACAGGAGCACACAGCCTCATTTTTCTCGTGAGGAGCAGCTGGTGGGTTTGAATCGCTGATCTTTTATATTTAGCAGCCGAGTTCCTCAACCACAGCTTGACCAGAAGCCGCTAATGTTTGCATTACCCCTTGATGCGATTGCCAGTCCTGTCATGAATAACACACATATTCTATGAGTAGTTCCTCTAAGAAATCATCT